TAATTTTGATGGGTCCCACTTTTGTTGGGTTGGGCAAGTAGATGACATGTCACGTTGCCATGTCATTATTTATTCATTTATACAACTGACGTGTCTCAAAGGTTTGACATGTCATTAAATTGTCGTGAGATAATGGTGAGATTTTAACGGAAGGACCAAATCGGGATAAAAATGGTAAACAGTAGGGACCAAATCAGGGATTTTTTTAGTTTAAAAATCAAATCGGGGGTCCGTACAATAGTTCAGGGATCAAAAAGGAGTTTTAACCCTTTTTTTTTTTTTTGTGAACTGGGAAAACTTGGGAGTGAGGGTTCAAGGTTGGGAGAATGAGGGTCTGATTTTGAATTTAAGATTTTGATATCCTAAATATGATATTTTTAAAAAAGGGATTATTAAGTAAATCAATTATGAACAAATTACATTATTTATTATAACATAATAACATGTTAACCACAGTTTTATACTTATTTTTTTGAATTTCAAAAACATATTTGAATATAAATAAGAGAAAGAGAATATGAATAATCTAACTTTTTACTTTTAAAAACTAAATGATAATATTTTACAGTATAATTATTATTGATTGTCAAAATAAATACCGTAAATAAAAACAAAATCAATACTTTCAAAAAGGATCCTATATTAATGCAGTGTTTCAAAGTCCCGAAAAACAAAGAGTCCATTTTCATTTACTAGAAGAATTTATGCAAACCAAACCAAACCAAACTAGACGCAACTTGTTCGTAGTTTCCCAAGGAATGGAAAATGAATTACCATCAAATCAAGTCTAATCGTTTTCTTCTTCTCCTCCGCTTTTTCTCCTTAAATATAGCACCCCTTTGTTCCTCACCGTAAGTAACACAAACACCCAACTATCTTTCTCTTTCATTGCCATGGCATCCAAACGTCAGCTTGTTTCTTCCTCTGACTCGTCAGACTCTGACCAAGAGAGTTCCAGAGAAACCAGCGACTCCTCTGAGTCGACAGAGAAGCAAAAACCGGCAGAAGAAAGGCACCCCGATAAAGAGGACTCTGGCTCCAAGGATGCTGGGAATGGGAAACGGAAGTCGGAAGAAAAAAGCGTGTCGGAGGATGCACCCCACCATGCTGAGAAACAGAGGTCGGGAGAACAATGCCAACAGGTGAACCCAGGAAGCCACTCCGATGCTGGAAAGAAAACTCCACTGATGATCAACTCTTCCGAGAATGCAAAAGATTCTGCTGCTACTGACTCAGATGCTTCTACCCCTCCGGAGAAATCTTCGTTACGGGCATCGAGAAAGCATCCTCTAAAGTCCGAATCAGATCAAAGAAGGTCCGGGCCTAAACGGGTCAAGAAGGAATTCAATCAGGAGAACGCAATGAAACTGTTTCAACGGGTGTGGACCGAGGAGGATGAAATTGTCATTCTCAACGGTATGATTGCCTACAAGGATGAAATGGGGGAGGACCCTTTTAGTAATATGGGTGAATTTTATCATTATATTTTAGAATCTGTTAGTTTTGTTTGTACAAAAATTCAGTTGAAGGAGAAAATTAGATGGCTGAAAGATAAATATTTGAAAAAAGCTAACAAGGGGGAAAAGACATTTTCTACTCCAAATGAGGATCAAGTTTTTCGTTTGTCTAAGAAGATATGGGGCAAACAAAAGGTGAAGAAAGCAACAGAGGTGCGTGAGGAGGTGAATGTGAATATTCCAATTAGGAAGAGTCTTGGAGTTGCCAGTTTGGAAGCCGAAATATTAGCAGTTGGGTTGGATGTAGTTGGAGGACCAGAGAAGGAGGCACTGGAGAAGAGATGGAAGAGTCTACGTGTTGCTGAATTGAAGGCCTTCTTGGTGCGAAGCCAAATTGTTGCTGATCAGGCTAAGTTGTTGTTGGACTACTACAAGACTCATTGATGTGATATTTTCTGGGAGGGTAGTTTTTTTCTATGGGGTGCATGTTTTTATTTTTTGATGCTGGGACAATGTCCTTTTTGTCTAAGGATTCATGTTTTTGTTTTGTGATGCTCTCCTGCATCATGGTATTGTTATGTCATGGTACTCTGTTATGTTTTTATTTTATCAAGTTGCACTATTTTTTGTCTTTTAATGTCTTCTGGGTGCTGCAATATTTTCTCAGATTATAGAAAACCAGTTGGTTCATCGGGAGTAATTTAGCACATGCTTAACTGCCCACCTCATGATTCCTTGATTCGTAATGCCTTTTCTTTGTTGCTCTTTGTACACAAGCAGCTAAATGCACCAACTGATCCTATTCATAAACAAACTGAGAATTCCACTGAAGAAGATGCAAGCTGGTATGAAGGCCAGAAAAATCGATGCAACTTTTATAATGAGATGATTAGTGATCAGAAAATCCTCAATTCTGAGAATGAAAATTTATGGGAAATGTATCAGGAGAGTTTGCAAATACCCGTGCATGCTGGTCCTGCTGCTGGTAATTGCTTCTTTTTTTTTGGGGGGGGTTTACACCTTTCATGAATTTAAGATAAAGTCATCATCCATAAAAACATGCAAGGCAAACCAGAGCATCATCAAATCTGAACAAACTCAATAACATTGTGTTGTAAGGCATTTACCGTTATGGTAATTATTTCTTTTCTTTATTCTTTTTCCTGGGATCATTCGTTTGACTGCTTTTGGTTTTTTATTTGATCTGTGATTATTGGTCCTTATCTACTAGTTTCAGTCATTTTGTGGTTTTCTGATTGTGTTTGTTTTCCTTTTGAGACTTTTGAACAGGTCCTTTTTGAAAATATACATTGAGGTCATTTTGTTGTTTTGATTGAGGGCGAGGGATCTGAATTTTAGAGAAGAAAATTGGAATCAGGTGAGGGTTTATGATTTACTTTAAGAAACTAAATAGACTGCAACTTGTCCCTTGAAGTGCTTTTGGTTTTTCTTTCTGGTAAAATTTTATTGGACGAATTCTTAATTTTCAGTTAAATAGAATCATTTCTTGGATGGGAAAAGAAGTAATCAAAAGTATGTTAGTACAGAATGGTGGATCTGTTCTTTAGTTTTAGTTGTTGTCAATTGTCTTGTTTAGATGAAAGTCTTCTGTTGGTGGAGATTTAGGGAGGTTGAGGGAACAGTTATATAATGGTAGTGCAAAGAGATGAGAAAGTAAAATCTGTTAGACTAGAGTTTAGTGCAAGTGAAGATGCTTGTTTTTTGTGCTGTTTTGATTAAGGATGATTGGTCAGATAAAAATATTTCATTGAGGAGAAAGATTCCTTAGATGGTTGAAGAAAAAGAAGCAAGAATTTGTTTTTCAAATTAATGTTCTTAGGGCTCGTTTGGTTGGAAGAGTGGCTATTCTTTGGTGAAATCATAAAGTTAAAGCATGACATGGAAGGAATGGCTATTCCTTGCTTTCACCAATTTTCTTCAAGTATGTTAAGAGAGAATAGTTGAAGCCTGGTTGACAGTGTCATTAGCTATTATCACCTTGTTTTGTCTTTTTGGAACAAAATTGATGCAATTAAAGAATAGCCATTGCTCATAGGCCTTACACTCTCTGCAAGGCCTTACCAAGGGACACTCACTTCATTCAACCAAACATGACCTCAGGTTTTATTTAGGACTTTTTAATAGGATTTAGGATTTTCATTTTTGAGGTTGAAGAGGTAAAAGTTCCTGCTTATTAGTTTAAGTATTAAACAGCTTGTTTAGTCTCTTATATTTCCATATATCTGATGGGTGCTATTGGATATCAGGTACAGATGTGTAAAAGATCCTTATATTTCTCAAGGCAATCTTCATTAAATTTAGTAGGTGCATGCTATATGGTTCTGCTGTATCTTTCCTCATGCTACATTGCTTGATGATCAAAATTTAACCATCAATTTCTGCTCTATGCCATGACATTTTAGTTTGACCCATGTGGTCAATGGGGATTTATTATTGTTGGTTACCTATCCTTAATAGCATTTTAGTATTTCCGTGTAGTATTATTAGTCTATCACATTATTTGGATCTGCAGAAGGTTTTTGCTCTTTCTTTTTTGGGTTGCTTTTTCCTGACCTTTTATTTTTTGCATATTTTTCCTTTGTTTTTGACTAGATTCAGCCATGATGGATGATGATATGTGGGGTAAAAAGAGGAAAGCCAATGAATTCTTTGGTAAGGTTCAGTTCAATTGACCATGAAACTTAGCATGCTTATTTGGGCCTTGATTCTTGAAAATTAAAGCTTCAGTTTTAGGATTGATGACTGCACTTCTCAACCATTCTGATTCTAATTTTGATGCATATCAGCGCCATTTCATTCCATGAAAGTATCTAAACCTATGTCGACTCTAACAGTCTTTTAGCAAGGTTACCACCTTTCTAAAATTTTTTAATCGAGGATATGACCTTTTTTCTAAATGGTGGCAGCTATGTGTGCACACATATTCGCTTAATCCTTCATTAGTAAAATTACAAATGTCATATCCTTAATTAAAAACTTTTGAAAGGTGGTTAAAAAAGGTCATACCTTTAATTAGAAAATTTTAAGAAGGTTGTATCCTTATTTTTACTAAATCTGATGAAAAGATATATAGGTACTTTAGTGCATAAAGTCGCATGATACTAAAGAATAGAGATAGTTAAGACGTTCTCTTTGTTAGATGCATCATTATACATGAAGTATATTTGGAAACAGCTAAAAGATGAATTTCCTAATAGGTTTCAAATAAACAATAACTCTTCTCTTCTAAATTTAAGAAGCATTGATGCTTGAGCAGAAAATAATCTGTACATTTGGATTGGGAAAATTAGGTCTTTTTGGCATGATTTGACGACCCTACATCCAGGTGCCATTTTGATGAAACTTAAAGCTTCAGTTTTTATCTCAAGTTGGATTGATCTAAACTTGTCTCTTTATCCTTTCTCCCCTTTTTTAACTTTTTTTTTTTTTTCAATCTAAATTAGCTTCTTTCAATTTGGTTTTGTAATCTCACGTGGTTGAGCTAGATCTTTAATGCATGTCACAGGATCGTTTGGATAATCATGAATGATTTTCCAATAGTGGGACAAACCTAAGAAAGATATCCTTTGATGTTTCTTTAAATTTAAAGAAGTTTGGCTTCTACTGCATTTGTTTTCTTTTGTTTGAGAAATTTAATGTGATATGATTATTTGATCTTGCCTTTGCGTATTTATTTTAGTAAGTTTATTCTTTCTGTTTTTCTGAAGAGTTTGTTTATTTAGAGAGATAGAGAAAAATAATCACAGGACAGGTTTTCTATATGGAGACCAAAACTTGAATTGGGGGAATTCAGAAGAATTTGTACAATATATTATGATCACTTTGTTCAATCTTATACACAATTCTATTTGTGGCATTCCCTTTTCTTTTTTATTTTTTGAAGAATTCAACAATGATATAAAATTCCAAAAATTGAGAGGCAACGATGAGAGAATTAGTATTTTTCTTTAAAAAATTCATTTTCCTTCTCAGAGTGAGTGTGTGCATTTTTTTCTTTTTCTTTTT